AAAATGTAAATTCAAAGTTGAAAAATTGAAAAATTAAAAAGCGAAAAATTAAAAAATCGAAAAATTGTAAAATCTAATAATAATTGAAGAAATTAAAATTTGAATAATTTTAAATTGAATATTTGAAAAATATGAGCAAATCGAGTAAACTGAAGAATCGAAAAATTGTATATAAACTGAAAATTACAAAATCGAAAAATTAAAAATCTAAAAACCGAAAAATAGAAAAATCCTAACATTAAAAAATTTTAAATCGAAAAATTGAAAAATTCACAAGTTGGGAAGTCGCAAAATTTTAAATTGAACACTTCAAAGAATGCAAATTAAAACCTAGAAAAATTCAAAAATTATTTAGCATCAACAACCCGAAAAAGAGAAAAATTTAAAAAGAAAACAAAATATCTAGAAATTGAAAAAACCAAAATTTGTAAAATTAAAGAATTGCAGGAATTAAAATTAGAAAAATTGAAAAATTGCAAAATTCAAGGTTGAAAAATTTGAGATCGAACGCGAAATTGAAAAATAGGAAAATCAAAAATCGAGAAGATGAAAATGGAACAACTGAAAAATCGTAAAATTAAAAATGGAAAAATTGTAAAACTGCAAATCGAAACATCGGGGAAATGAAGGAAAAAAAAAATTAAAATCTTGAAATTGAAAGTCGAAAATTGGAAGAACGAAAAACTGAAAAATTTTAAATTGGACACCTAAAAAATTGCAAAAAATCAGAAAATTAAAAAGCGAAAAATTGACAAAATGAAAAACCGAAAAATTAAAAATCTACAAGCCCAAAAATCGAAAAATTGAAAAAATCGAATAATTTCAAAACAGAAAAATTAAAATATCTAGAAATTGAAAAAATTCAAAATTCAAAAGTAGAAAAATCGAAAATGGAAAAATTTGAAAAATTATAAACTGAGAAAACGAAAATTTGAAAAATCGAAGAACTGAAAAATTCAAAAGTTGAAAAATCGAAAAACTAAAAAAATTAAACTTAAACATTTGAAAAACTCAAATCGAAAAATTAAAAATTAAAATGAGAGAAATTGAAAAATAAAAAAACTGAAAATTGCACTCAGAAACAGAAAAATGAAAAAGTTGAAGTCAGAAAATTGAAAAATTTTAAATTGAAGACAAAATCCGAAAATTCTAAAGTTGAAAAATCGAAGAAACAAAAATTTGAAGAATCGAAAAATTAAAACTTTTTAAATTGCAATAAGAGAAACTGAAAAATTGAAAAATTAAAAACCGGAAACCTGAGAATTCTAAAAAAAATCGAAAAATTGAAGAAATAAAAATCCAGAAACCGAAAAACGAAATTGTAACATCGAAAAATCCCAAATCGAATAATTGAAAAATTAGAAATTCAAAAAGTCAAAAATTGACAAAATGAAAAATCGAATAATTTTAAAAACGAAAAATTCATATATCTAGAAATTGAAAAATTATAAAAACGAAAAATCGCAAATCGAAAAACTGAAGGAATAAAACCTTGACAAATCGAAAAATTTCAAAATTCAAAAGTTGAAAAATCGATAATGCAAAAATTTGAAAAGTTATAAACTCAGAAAACGAAAATTCGAAAAATCGAATAACTGAAAATTGCGCCCAGATAGAGAAAAATGGAAAAATTGCAAAAGAGAAACTAAAAAATTAAAAATTGAGTAAAAAATTGAGAAAACGAAAAGTTGAAAAATCGAAAAATTGACAAATTTAAAAAAATAAAAATTCGAAAATTGAAGATCCAAAAACTGAAGAAATAAAATTATTATTATTATTATTATTATTAAAAAATGGAAAGCTGAAAAATTGAAATGTCGAAGAACTGAAAAATTTAAATAGAAGGATTCAACATTGGAAAAACCGAAAATTCAAAATTCGAAAATAGAAAATTTAAAAATTTGAGATGAAACTGAAAAATCGAAAAATTGTAAATAAAGAAAATTGAAAAGTTGAAAAATTCATAAGTGAAAATCGAAAAATTGAAAAATTTTAAATTGAATGCTTCAAAAAATGCAACTCAGAATCTTGAAAAACTCAAAAATTATCAGAAGCCAGAAGCTGAAGAAGGGAAATATTGAAAAATCGAATTATTTTAAAAAAAGAAAACAAAACATCCACAAATTGAAAGATCCAAAAATTGAAAAATGGCAAAGTTCAAAGTTGGAAAATAGCACGTTGAAAAATTTGAGATGGAAATTGCAAATTCGAAAAATTAAAAATCGAGAAGCTGAAATTGGAAAAATTGAAAAACTGAAAATTTACAAATCGAAGAACTGAAAAGTAGAAAAACTGTAGAATCGAAAAAAAGCAAATCTAAAAATCGGGGAAATGGGGGAGGGAAAAATGAAAAACCTGAAGTAGAAAGTCGAAACTGGATGAACGAAAAATTTTAAATTGAACACCTAAAAAATTGAAAATCCAAAAACTGAAAAATCCGGGAATTAAAAAGCGAAAAACTGACAAAATGAGAAAATGAAAAATTGAAAAATCGAATAATTGAAAAACAAAACATTCAAATATCTAGAAATTGAAAAATCTAAAAATTCTAAAATCGAAAAATCGAAGAAACAAAAATTTGAAGAATCGAAAAATTGACAAATTAAAAAAAATAAAAATTCGAAAATTGAATATCCAAAAACTGAATAAATAACATTATTATTATTATTATTATTATTAAAAAAATGAAAAACTGAAAAATTGAAAAGTCGAAGAACTAAAAAATTTAAAATAGAAGGATTAAACATTTGAAAAACCGAAAATTCAAAATTCAAAAATAGAAAATTCAAAAATTTGAGATGAAACTGAAAAATCGAAAAATTGTAAATGAAGAAACTGAAAATTCTTAAAATTGAAAAATTCAAAAATTCGTAAGTGAAAATCGAAAAATTGATGAATTTTAAATTGAATGCTTCAAAAAATGCAAATCGGAATCTTGAAAAGCTCAAAAATTATCAGAAGCCAGAAGCTGAAAAATCCAAAAACTGAAAAATGGAGAGCTTTGAAAAATTTGAGATGGAAATTGCAAATTTGAAAAATTAAAAATCGAGAAGCTGAAATTGGAAAAATTGAAAAACTGAAAATTTACAAATCGACGAACTGAAAAGTAGAAAAACTGTAGAATCGAAAAAAAGCAAATCTAAAAATCGGGCAAATGGGGGAGGGAAAAACTGAAAACCTGAAGTAGAAAGTCGAAACTAGATGAACGAAAAATTTTAAATTGAACACCTAAAAAATTGAAAATCCAAAAATTGAAAAATCGAATAATTGAAAAACAAAACATTCAAATATCTAGAAATTGAAAAATGTAAAAATTCTAAAATCGAAAAATCGAAGAAACAAAAATGTGAAGAATCGAAAAATTAAAAATTTTTAAATTGAATACTCGAAAAATTGCAATTAGAGAAACTGAAAAATAAACAAATTAAATGGGGGAAACTGAAAATCAGAAAAACTATAAAATTAAAAAACTGAAAATCGAAAAACCGGGAAAAATGAATATGAAAAAATGAAAAATCGAAAGCGGAAAAACTGTAAATTGGAAAATTGAAAAATCCAAAAATTAGAAATCTACAAGTCGAAAAATCGAAAATTTCTAAATTCGAAAAATCGAAGAACAAAAATTTGAAGATTAAAAAAATTAAACAATTTTAAACTGAATACTCGAAAAATTGCAAATAGAGGAACTGAAAAACTAAAAAATTAAAAACCGGAAAACTGAAAATTCTGTAAACTGATAAAACGAAAAATTAAAGAAATAAAAAACGGAAATGTAACATAGAAACCTCAAATCGAAAAACTGTAAAAAAGTGAAAAATCAAAAAACATCAAATTGAAGATTTGTAGAAATTAAAACATGAAAAAAAGAGGAAAATATGAAAAATTGCAAAATCTATTAACTGAAAAATTTAAGATTGGATTTTCGAAAAATTGCAAATCAGGAAAGCGAAAAATAAACAAATTAAAACCCGGAAACTGAAAATCGGAAACATTGAAAAATCGAAAAACTAAAATCGAGGAACTGAAAATGGAAAAATTGTAAAATAAAAAACCTGCAAATCGCAAAACCGGGAAAATGAAGAAATGAAAAACTGAAAGGTGAAAAATTGTAAATCGGAAAACTGAAAAATCTAAAAATTAAAAAGCGAGAAATTGGCAAATTGAAAAACACTAAAATTAAAAATCGAGAAAGTGATAAGTTGAAAATATGATAAATCCAATAATAATTTAAAAAACGAAAAATTATAATATTTGGAAAGTGAAAAATGGAAAAATTGTAAAATCAAAAAACTACAAACTGAAAAACCTGACAAACGAAGAAATGAAAAAATGAGAAATTGAAATGTGAAAAAAATCATAAATTGGAAAACTGGAAAATTCAAAAATTAAAAAGCGAGAAATTGCCAAATTGAAAAATATTAGTATTAAAAATCGAGAAAGTGAAAAGTCGGAAATATGAAAAATCGAATAGTTTAAAAAACGAAAAATTATAATATGTGAAAATTGAAAAATAGAAAAATTGTAAAATCAAAAAACTGCAAATTGAAAAACCGGGAAAACGAAGAAATGAAAAAATGAAAAGTTAAATGTCGAAAAATTGTTAATCGGAAAATTGAAAAATCCAAAAATTAAAAAGCAAGAAATTTATTATATTTTCAAAATACTTATTAGATGTTATTTAAACATGGCAAAGGAAGTTTGACGCCTCAAAAATCCACACTTTTGTTACTCCACAACAACCAGACCCCATTTCACCATACCACTCCAGTGTTCAAGACCCATCCTCTTCAACCATCCACTTCGCGCTGACCCCAATCCTCTTCAAAGTCATTATTAATCCATGCATCTATTTCAACACCCGCACATCCAACTCGCTAATTACTTCAGCAATGTCGCAACCATCCCATCAATGCACCGACCTTCGCACCACAAACCATCACCCATTCAAGCCCAACGCATCTCCATCTGCAACCTGCAGCCGTGACACGCACCCTTTCCCCCATTTGTGCCCATTGGTCTACTTCCAGCATCGCCCCGACCAAGGATGCCGCTTCGAAATGAAAGCCCACAACCACGGTACTCTCGTATTCCACTTTCCTGCTAAGACACTTTCTTACTGCCGCCGTGTTCAGTGCGTCCAGCGCAACGTTTCGGTCGTGTCGCGTGCATCCTCGAGATAAATGCGCCAAAATGCGTTCACACATCTTCGGAATTTTCGCCCTGGTGTTAGCGTCGCAGTGTGACTACGGATCTTCCGGAAATAACTTCAGGAATGGTGAGTGTTATTTACTAACACCAGCAAGTAGTGTTACGTAAGGAGTTGACGGATGCGTTAATTTATTGCGTGTTGGCAGGCCCGCGTGAGAAAAAATCCAATCCGGTAGTAAATGTTGATATTTATTTGTAATTTAAATTTCGAGTTGTCATGAGTGAGTCGGGTTTAATTTGTGTTAATTACCTCGCTGACAATGATTTCGTCAACGAATTTGCGCTCGGTGTTTGTTTAGACGGTACTCGATCAAGTGCGTAACTGATCAGGATCATTGACATTGATCTTCAGTACCGAGCTGTGTACACTGATCGTCTCGATGACTCACGACGAATTTTCAGTGACGCTTATTGATATTTCGTCGTTTTTTCCCAGGCTATAAATACGACTTTACTGCTCTAAAATGGTCAAGTAACAAGACGACCTTCGTCCAACAACAATTACTTTTTTCGAAAAGTGGTTTGGTGTCCGTCCGTTATCTGATGCGTATTCGGCGAGGAATGTGGTCTCTTTTTGTCGATAAAATCTAGCATTTGATAGCAAAACCGCCATCAAACTTGTTCTAACGACGGTTATCAATTTTGATATGCGATAGCTCGGAAACCATATACTGCATACCCACTTAAAGTATCCGCATGTGGGTATGAAAGTGAAATTTCTTCTGAACTGTAGCGTTACGTAACTTTCTAATGTACCTAGTCGTAAAAATGCCGCCACAAATTGCTTTTTTCGATATCCGGTCATCGCTAACATCTATCAAAATTGATATGGCATGCAGACGCGAAAAAGTGCTTATTTAACGACGACTCTTATCAGATCGTGCTGGTTTCGAGGGTTTTAAAAGCGTTTTCGATATGTCGTCGTCATTTTTTATCTACTTGATGGAATAATTGGTAATTGATATAGAAAATAGGTAGGTGGATGATGGAAATGCGTGTTTGGGGTTTGGAACATGCACGCGAGCGTTTAGGTACACATTAAAGACGAAAAAGTGGAGATAATAAAAAGCTTTCTTTTGATGTGTGTTGGCGGCTAAATTATTATTAGATTTGGTTGATCTGATTTATTGTTGTCTACATAGCCTATGATCTGAAATAGTCAATAATTGATAACGACAAAACGGTTCTTTTTGATATGTTAAAGGCGATTTGTCAAAATCAATAAAACTAATCTAGAATCTGTTGTTAGATGTTTAAAGAAAAACTTGTGGGAAATGAGCAAAATAATGTGTCAATGAACGACTGGTGACCATTCCTCTTATACAATGTTGTAATAAAATTTGAATACGAAGGGCAAAAACTCATAGCGGATACATAAACCACAAGCACACGAGTATGTTATTTTATAAACTTTAAATAGCATTTCCCAAATTGACCAAAATCGCAAAAATTACAAAATTGTAAAATTAAAAAATTTAAAACCAAAAAAATTGAATAATCGAAAAATCGATACAACAGAAAACGGAAAAATTTAAAAATCAAAAACCTGCCATAAATATTTATCTGTTGTTGGTAGAAAAACTCAGAGCTCCCCAGTTTACGATTTACGTTCATTTTGATGTAATAGAACAACCGTGGGCAAAAAATACGCACTGTGATGCTATAGGTCACATTCGAGCCACAAAAACCCAAATCTGGATGTATTATAAAACCGTAGCCCCAGATTACGACCTCTACGAGAACATAATACGCCGAATTTGAGCATTTCAAGATCTTCATTGTTGATTGTTCAAAATTTTAAAACTTGAAAAATTGAAATACCAAAAAACTGAGGAATCGAAAATCTGATACTCAAAAATTTAAAAATCGAAAAATTAAAAAAAAAACACAAAAAGACTGAGAAATCGGCACATCAAAATATCGCAAAACCGAAAAATTAAAAATTGAAAAATTTTAGATAAAAAGTATTCGAAATATCTAAAAATTGGAAAATCGGGAAATTGAACAATCAAATAAATGAGACGTCGAAATCTCCATAAATCGAGAAATCGAAACATTGAAAAAATCGAGAAACTGGAGAATCGAAAAATTTAGAAAGCGACAAATTTAAAAAATCGAAATTAGAGTAGAAAAATGGAAGAACTGAAAAAAATTGAAACATCGAGAAATCAAAATATTAAAAGTTTCAAAAATCGAAACATTTATTAAAATCGAAAAATTTAAATTTTAAAATCGAAAAATTAAAAAAATCCAAAACTGAAATGTCGAAAAATCGAAAAATCGAAAATTTTAGCAATGTCAAAAACAAAAAAATTGAAAAACCGAAAAGTGGAGAATCGAAAATTGAAAAGTCGAAAAACTGAAATTTCGGAAAATTAAAAAATAAAAAAATCGAAACATTAAATGATCAAAAAACTGAAATATCGAAAGTTGAAAAATCGAGAAAAAATTGGAAAAACGTGAAGTCGAAAAGTCGATAAATCGAGAAGTAGAAAAATCGAAATGCCGAAAAACTAAAAGCATCGAAAAATTGAGACATGAAAAATTCCAGAAATTAAAAATTCCAGAAACCAAAATATCGAGCAGTCGAAATTACTGGAAATCCAAAAATGAAAAAAAATTTTAAATTACAAAAAATGGAATATATTATAATAATTAAAAAATGGAAATATTTGAAAACCAAAAAATCTAAAACCGAGACGCCGGAAAATCGAGACATCAAAATACTGAAAAATCTAAAATTTAAAAATTGAAAAATATTGAAATTAAAATATCAAAAAATTGAAAAATTGAGAAATTAAAACTTCAAAAAATTCAAAAATTGAAATTTAAACTGAAAAACCCAAAGTTTAAAAAATCGACGAAAAATCGAATATTTGCAAAATTTAAAAATTCCAAAACCAGAATGTCGAAAAATTGAAGTAAGTATTTAAAAAATGAAAATTCGAAAGTTGGGAAATTGAGAAATTGGAACTCCGAAATCTCGAAAAATCGAAAATTTAAAAATGAAAAAAATAAAAAAATTGAGAAATCCAGCAAATGGAAAATCGAAAATTGAAAAATCGGCAAACTGAAATATTGGAAAACTAAGAAATCGAGAAATGAAAAAACAAAAAGTCGAAAAATCGAAAAACCGAGAAATCGAAAAATCGAAACATGAAATGATACATCAAAAATTCCAGAAGTCAAAATATGGAGAAATCGAAATTACCAAAAATCCAAAAATAAACTGAAAAACTCAATATTATAAAAAATTGAATATCGTAAAAACTGAAAAATAGAAATATTTGAAAATCAAAAAATCTAAAACCTAAACGTCGGAAAATCGAGGCATCAAAACACTGAAAAATCTAAAATTTAAAAATTGGAAAAAGGGAAATTAAAAAATTGAAAAACTAAAAAATCGAAGAAAAATTGAAGAATCGAGAATTCGAAAAGGCGAGAAGTTGAAAAATTGAAAAATACTGTAATTAAAATATCAAATAATTGAAAAATTGAGAAATTAAAACTTCAAAAAATTCAAAAATTGAAATTTAAAACTGAAAAACGTTAATTTAAAAAAATCGACGAAAAATTGATTATTTGAAAAACTTAAAAATTCCAAAACCAGAATGTCGAAAAATTGAAGTAAGTATTTATAAAATGAAAAATATAAAGTTGGGAAATTGAGAAATCGAGAAATTGAAACTCCGAAATCTCAAAAATCGAAATATCGAAAATTTAAAAATGAAAAAAATAAAAAAATGAGAAATCCAAAAAATGGAAAATCGAAAATTGAAAAATCGGCAAACTGAAATATTGGAAAATTGAGAAATCGAAGAATAAGAAATCAAGAAACCAAATATTTTAAAAATCGAAAAATTGAAAAAACAAAAAGTCGAAAAATCGAAAAACCGAAAAATCGAAAAATCGAAACATCATCAAAAATTCCAGAAGTCAAAATATGGAGAAATCGAAATTACCAAAAATCCAAAAATAATAAGCTGAAAAACTCAAAATTATAAAAAATTGAATGTTCTAAAAATTGAAAAATAGAAATATTTGGAAACCAAAAATTCTAAAACCGAGACGCCGGAAAATCGAAATATCGGGAAATCGACACATTAAAATACTGAAAAATCTAAAACTTAAAAATTGGAAAAAGGGAAATTAAAAAATCGAAAAACTAAAAAATCGACGAAAAATTGAAGAATCGAGAATTCGAAAAGGCGAAAAGTTGAAAAATTGAAAAATACTGAAATTAAAATATCAAAAAATTGAAAAATTGAGAAATTAAAACTTCAAAAAATTTAAAAATTGAAATTTAAAACTGAAAAACGTTGATTTTAAAAAATCGACGAAAAATTGATTATTTGAAAAATTAAAATGTTCCAAAACCAGAATGTCGAAAAATTGAAGTAAGTATTTATAAAATGAAAAATCGAAAGTTGGGAAATTGAGAAATCGAGAAATTGAAACACCGAATTCGAGAAAAATCGAAAAATCGAAAATTTAGAAATGAAAAAAAAAATTGAGAAATCCAAAAAAATGGAAAATCGAAAATTGAAAAATCGGCAAACTGAAATATTGGAAAATTGAGGAATCGAAGAATAAGAAATCAAGAAATCAAAAATTTTAAAAATCGAAAAATTGAAGAATAGAAAAATTGAAAAATCGAGAAATTGAAAAAACAAAAAGTCGAAAAAGTGAAACTTGAAATGATGCATCAAAAATTCCAGCAGTCAAAATATGGAGAAATCTAAATTTCCAAAAATCCAAAAATAAATTGAAAAACTCAAAATTATAAAAAACTGAATATCGTAAAAATTGAAAAATCGAAATATTTGAAAACCGAAAAATCTAAAACCGGAACGTCGGAACATCGAAAGATTGAGAAATCGAAACATCAAAAAATTGAAAAACCTGAAATTTAAAAATTCGAAATATGAGAAATAAAAAAATTCGAAAGCCTGCAGAATCGGGAAATCAAGAAGGGGATAAAATGAAAATTTAAAAAATCGACAACTTGAACAATCAAAAACGTGAAAAATTGAAAAATTCAGAAATTAAAAAATTAAAACATCGAAA